CAGTATACGTTGATCTCATAGTTGAGACACAGAGATTCATGCATCACAGGTCCAGGAACTTGGTCTCTATTGTTGCAAATGAGCCCGGTCAAAACATTACATTCCACATTTTGTCCCAACTCTTCAAAGGAGAGATCAGGAAATTTCACTGCGCGGCATGATATGTTTTCTGGCTGCTCACAAATATCAATGTTATGCTCTCTGATGGTCTTGTAGGTTTCATCATCACCATATTCTGGGCCGTATTGTGGATAACTCACATCAATCCATCCAGACCATGAACATATTTCTGAAGGGACACAAGATTCTTCAAAAAAAATGGACACAAAGAAAACAATGGTCACATGCATGGTTGTGAAAGGAACATTCTAGAAAACAAGAATAATTAGGTGAGTATCATTGCAATTGTTTTAATATTCTCAGTACTTATGGATTTACAGCAAATCTCAAATTTTATTATCTGTTCAATAACAATTTTTGTCTATAATGGAAGCCTTTCCATTTTTTTCGTTTTCATTTCTTGTTTTTGATTTTTAAAAACTGAGACTACCCGAGACTTAGAAATATTACTTTTTAGATAACAATTCTAAGAATCCAAAAATTAGTATGGGCATAGCTGGAGATGCAAGGAATGGTAACAGAAACATGTAGCACTCCTGAACTCAGAGACAGGTTTTATATTGTTTGTTCTTTGGGTGATTGGTCCCACAGAAACCAACAGAAAAAGGGGGGGAAAACTCTCCATATTTTTCATTGAGGCAGTCTAGCTGAAAACAGACTCATTCCAAATTCACATTGTCATTGCAGCTTTCTCTGTTTATTGCATTCCTGTGCATTATTTGTCCCCTCTTCCTTACTGGGCCTCTTTCAATGCTTCTTCTGCCTTTCCTTTTTTTTCTCAACTTCCCGTCTGCCCTCCCATTCCTCTATTCTTCCTGTTACTCATACACCTTTCTTGTATCCACTGCCTATTCTGCTTCCAACACTGGAGGCATTCAAGAGAAATGTAGACAACCACCTGGCAGATATCCTTTGATTTGTATTCCTGCATAGAGCAGGGGGTTGGACTTGATGGCCTTACAGGCCTCTTCCAACTTCATGTTTCTGTGATTCCACCATTCCTTCAGGAACCTAATTTGTTGGTGGCATTTACTTTACAATCACAAATGTGATATTAGAGCAGCTCAACTATTTTGTGCCCAGTGACATCATCACCATCACAACATCTCTAATTGCACTAGAGCAGAAATCTTTCCTGCATGGAAGATGAACAATTCAACACTGTCACTTGGTCTTCAACAAACAATTGCATTTTTTTTTTTTTTTGCAATATCTTCCAGAACACAACCCCAGGCGTGACTACTTATAGCTTAAGCTTTTGTAGTCAATAAAGATGTGCTATTCATACCTTTTACTTCAGCTCCCCAAATCGTCCATCCTGGAAGTTACCCTTACAGACCCACACCTACAGATATCATAAAGTGGCTCATTTGGAGAAAAGCCTAGCTAGAAGTCTTCTTGTGTTACACAAAACTATAATGGACAAATCATCCATGTTCACTAGAACTGGTTTTTATTTTAATTTAAGCTTTTGAATAGAATTCCAATATTTAAAAGGAAAGGTGGACTGAGGAGAGTCGGAACAATAGTACAAATATTTTAGTCATACAGATATAAAACCATCCATGTTTCTGTAACAGAATTACTTACTTGTACTGCTGCCTGTTGTTACTGTTTAAAAAAATGAAGAAGGAAAAACAAAGGATAACTGTTATTGCATGCTCATTTCATCTGAAGAAACAACAGAAATACTTGCAGTGACATCTAAACTGATCCCTATAATCTTTCTTCAAATAATTCTTCCATTTCTTAGAGTCCTTGAACACGTCAGATATTTTGTCATTCAGCACTCAAGATTCCTCCTGTATTGTCAGCTCTGAGAACTATGTAAATTGTTGGGAATGGGTCAGGCTGAAGGTGCATACGATGGGGCAAGGGAACTTCAAAAACATTTTTCTTCTGTTAATTACACAATATAGGGTGTATTCATCCAATGTACATCCAAGAGTTGACACAACCCAAGTGGATAGGCCTTAGTTAGGCATCAGAATTATTGGGAACCTGATGTGGGTGCGCATACTTTTCACATCATAGAACTCATTGGGGAAAAAAACATGCTCACAAAGATAAACAAAATGTCTAAATAAAGCAAACAAATATGTGATCACAAGGGGCAAAGGTACAGATGTTACAAGAAAGTAAAACTACAAGCAAACAGGGGAGGCACAGACAATTAATGACCTAATGGGATCCTAGCACTGATACATAGATTGCCCAATATTCTATATTCCTCAAGATTCCTAGAAGCAAATAATCAGTGACCTTAACTGCCAATGAAATAAAATATAAAAATACACATAGGTGGCTTTAATTAGAACAAAAACTTAGCAATTATGTTCCTCTTTTATGACTTATGCATATTAGTTTGGTTTGGTCCATCTCTTTGAGGAATAATTAGTAAGCCAATCAATATATAAATATATTTCATGTGTTTATGAGAGATTTACATACAAAGGCATAGCAATATCAAAAAGTACTTGTTTATTAATTACCTGATGTGGTGGATGATGGTGTCGAAGTAGTAGGAGTAGTAGTGGTTGTAGTAGTTGATGGTGTGGAGGTAGTGGTAGGAGTTGTCGTTGGTGTAGTTGTGGGAGTGGTAGTCAGAGTAGTGGTGGTAGTAGTTGAAGTGGTGGAAGGAGTTGTGGTAGTTGTAGTAAAAGGCGTGGTTGTTGATGTACTAGTACTTGTAGAAGTGGTAGGTGATGTGGAGGTAGTGGTAGGAGTTGTGGTTGGAGATGTGGTGGTTGGTGGTGTAGTTGTACAGACAGGTTTGCAACAGTATACGTTGATCTCATAGTTGAGACACAGGGATTCATGCATCACAGGTCCAGGAACTTGGTCTCTATTGTTGCAAATGAGCCCGGTCAAAACATTACATTCCACATTTTGTCCCAACTCTTCAAAGGAGAGATCAGGAAATTTCACTGCGCGGCATGATATGTTTTCTGGCTGCTCACAAATATCAATGTTATGCTCTCTGATGGTCTTGTAGGTTTCATCATCACCATATTCTGGGCCGTATTGTGGATAACTCACATCAATCCATCCAGACCATGAACATATTTCTGAAGGGACACAAGGGGCTTCAAAAAAAATGGACATGAAGAAAACAATGGTCACATGCATGGTTGTGAAAGGAACATTCTAGAAAACTAGAATAATTAGGTGAGTGTTTGTCATTGCAATTGTTTTAATATCCTCAGTACTTATGGATTTACAACAAATCTCAAATTATCTGTTCAATAACTATTTTTGTCTATAATGGAGGCCTTTCCATTTTGTTTGTTTTTTGTTTCTTGTTTTTGATTTTTAAAAATTGAAACTACTGTTTATTGCATTCCTGTGTGTTATTTGCCCCCTCTTCCTTAATTGGCCTCTTTCAATGCTTCTTCTGCCTTTCCTTTTTTTTCTCAACTTCCCGTCTGCCCTCCCATTCCTCTATTCTTCCTGTTATTCACACACCTTCTTCCTGTTACTCATATACCTTTCTTGTATCCACTGCCTATTCTGCTTCCAACACTGGAGGCATTCAAGAGAAATGTAGACAACCACCTGGCAGAGATACTTTGATTTGTATTCCTGCATAGAGCAAGGGGATGGACTTGATGGCCTTACAGGCCTCTTCCAACTTCATGTTTCTGTGATTCCACCATTCCTTCAGGAACCTACCGGTAATTTGTTGGTGGCATTTACAATCAAGTATCAAATGTGATATTAGAGCAGCTCAACTATTTTGTGCCCAGTGACATCATCACCATCACAACATCTCTAATTGCACTAGAGCAGAAATCTTTCCTGCATGGAAGATGAACAATTCAACACTGCCACTTGCTCTTCAACAAACAATTGCATTTTTTGCAGTATCTTCCAGAACACAACCCAAAGTGCAGACATCTGGTGAAGGCATAGCAATATCAAAAAGTACTTGTTTATTAATTACCTGATGTGGTGGTTGATGGTGTCGAAGTAGTAATAGTAGTGGTGGTAGTGGTTGTAGTAGTTGATGGTGTGGAGGTAGTGGTAGGAGTTGTGGTTGAAGATGTGGTGGTTGGTGGTGTAGTTGTACAGACAGGTTTGCAACAGTATACGTTGATCTCATAGTTGAGACACAGAGATTCATGCATCACAGGTCCAGGAACTTGGTCTCTATTGTTGCAAATGAGCCCGGTCAAAACATTACATTCCACATTTTGTCCCAACTCTTCAAAGGAGAGATCAGGAAATTTCACTGCGCGGCATGATATGTTTTCTGGCTGCTCACAAATATCAATGTTATGCTCTCTGATGGTCTTGTAGGTTTCATCATCACCATATTCTGGGCCGTATTGTGGATAACTCACATCAATCCATCCAGACCATGAACATATTTCTGAAGGGACACAAGGGGCTTCAAAAAAAATGGACATGAAGAAAACAATGGTCACATGCATGGTTGTGAAAGGAACATTCTAGAAAACAAGAATAATTAGGTGAGTATCATTGCAATTGTTTTAATATTCTCAGTACTTATGGATTTACAGCAAATCTCAAATTTTATTATCTGTTCAATAACAATTTTTGTCTATAATGGAAGCCTTTCCATTTTTTTCGTTTTCATTTCTTGTTTTTGATTTTTAAAAATTGAGACTTCCCGAGGCTTAGAAATATTACTTTTTAGATAACAATTCTAAGAATCCAAAAATTAGTATGGGCATAACTGGAGATGCAAGGAATGCTAACAGAAAAAAGTAACACCCCTGAACTCAGAGACAGGTTTTGTTTGTTTTTTGGGTGATTGCTGCCAACCAACAGAAAAAGGGAAAAGAATTGTCTATATTTTTCATTGAAGCAGTCTAGCTGAAAACAGACTCATTCCAAATTCACATGGTCATTGCAGCTTTCTCTGTTTATTGCGTTCCTGTGCATTATTTGTCCACTCTTCCTTACTGCCCCTCTTTCAATGCTTCTTCTGGAGGCATTGAAGTTGTGCATTCCTTTGCTTCATCTGCTCTTCTTTTTCTTTCCTCTGCCCACTACTTCCAGTGCCTTTCTGTCCCTTTAATTATTCTAACTGCAGTATGTGAGAGAAACTTCTCATTCAGATCTTCCGGTCACTTGCACCTTCAGTGCTTAAGATATGTTCCCATCTTCAGGGATACTGGCAATAATCCTATAACACCTTGGAGGAATCTAGGTCAGTGGTCCCTAACCTTGGGCCTCCAGATGGTCTTGGACTTCAGCTCCCAGGATCCTGGCCAGGAGAGGTGGTGGTGAAGGCTTCTGGGAGTTGTAGTTAAGAACATCTGGAGGCCCAAGGTTGGGGACCACTGCTCTAGGTCATTCTAATGAGCATTTGTAAACAATGGCTTTCTTAAGAGCTGAAGAAAAAAGCTTCCATGTCTATGCACATAGATTTATCAAGACACAAACTGAAGTATTCTGAAAATATATATTCACCATATCAAATGGGTACACCACGAAGATACCACAGACAGTAAATAAAGAGCATTCCCTCCTATTTTTAGAGAGGTGCAAAAGTAAAGGAACAGTTGTTCACTTTTCTAGAAATCTAGAAACATGGAAAAAGTAGCAGAATAATTCTTCATTCTCTTTCATGCAGCTAACACTTTGGGCATACTTTGCTGATAATTACACTTCCTCACTTGTTTATTGAAAAATAACCAGCAAGTTTTGAATTTTAATGAATGGGGAGTTTCTGTACTTACTTGTGTAGCCTGTTGTCACCGGTGATAATGTATGTGCAGAAAAAGAAAGAACGAGAGAAAATATGAATGTAATTACAGTATTTGGCACTTTCAAAAGTAAACATCATTGCAGGCTATATTATCATATTTTTAATCCTAGCTCAAGGTAAGACATTCTGCAATCTTGCTGTGGAACACCTGGTATCAAATCCCTGCAATACGATTGGTTTCTTTTTACAGATGTATTGTGTACGCTTAGTGTTAATTGTTCTTTATATTGTTCATTCCTGCAAAGCAAATTTTTTATAATTAAGTATTTATTTATTACCTGTAGTTGTAGTTGGAGAAGTAGTTGGTGAGGTGGTAGATGGCGTTGAAGTAGTTGTAGGAGTAGTAGTCTGGGTTGAGGTAGGGGAGGTGGTTGGGGTAGGGGTAGAAGTGGTGGTTGGTGTCGTAGTTGATGTAGTTGAGGTTGTGGTGGGAGTGGGAGTTGCCGTAGTTGTAGTTGGTGTGGTTGTTGTCGTTGTTGTTGTTGTAGGAGTTGTGCTTGGAGATACTGTTGAACACATAGGTGAGCAGCAGTACACACTGATCTCATAATTATAGCAGAGGTGCCAGAGGCTCTTATCTTGATCTTCATTTCTACAAATGAGCCCATAAGTAACATTACAGGTCACGGTCTGTCCCAATGCTTCCAAACTTTGATCGGGTGCATCTTTAGCCCTGCACTGAATATCTTGTATACTTAATGGTTCTGAACATATTGTTGTGCCTTCTTTATTGCTTATGGCCTCATAAGTCTCATAATCCCCACCTCCTGGTACATCTTGAGGAACACTGACATCATACCATGGACTCCAGTAGCAGATGCACGGACCTGTAAGGTAAATGTGGAAGTAATCCTTCTGCATTTAATGCAGTGGGTTTATATGAACAATATCTCCATATGAAATGAAATATCACTTTGAAGTCATCAAAGTTATCACTTTCCTGAGGCAAAGGCATAGGTTAAGAAATAACAGCACAAGCTAAAAAGCTTAGACAGAAAAAATCTTCTGATCCTGGGGCTCATTAGTTCTAGCACACAATATATTCACAAGCAGAAGGTCCTCCATGGACCTATTACTTGGAGGTCTAACTAGTTAAGAATTGGAGATTTTATGCATGGGATGCCCTACCAAACAATGGCCACTGCCCAACGTCTTTAACAATACTTGCCTGTAGTTGTTGAAAAGGTTGTAGTAGTAGAGGCTGAAAAGGAGAGGGAAGAGCATGAGTCATCTTAGGAAAAATTGTCATTATTTCTTTTAACATATTTCAATCACACTTTCCACTTTTAAAAAAATCTTGAGGATTATGATAGATTTAGCATGTGGAATAATTCATGTCCTATCAAGAGCCTGGTTATTCACATTTTTTAAAAGTTTTGCCAATAAATGCCACGTCGCTATAATTAGAGATGTCAAACAAAGGTGCAGTAAAACCAGTTGTCTCCAGGGTGATAGCAATCTAATGTGTATCAACAGTACTGCAAGCTTACTTGTTGTGGTGGTTGTAGTAGTGGTAGAAGAGGTTGTTGAAATTGTAGTTGTAGGAATTGTGGTTGTACCACAGAAATGTACACTGTCAGTCTTCCAAGTGCCATTTAACATGCAGATCAAGTCGAAACAGAATGATCCATTATTCCCTGGAATGATGGTTCCTACAGGATATTCTTCGCCCTCATAAATACAGCAGCCTATGTGAAGGAAACCCATTTATTAAATTGCCTCACCCAAAGCATGGTCAAAAATAATAAATCAAAATTAAATCATCCAGAATTTAAATAGTGCATCCTAACTTAAAGAATGTTTGCCTATACTCAGCATTATTATGTGTAATGATAATTACTGAATATGGTGGATGATATTGTTTGTCATTTGATTATGATGTTACTTTTATTTAAATTAATAATAATATTACAATATACAGTAATAAAATAACAAGACATTTGGAATGCTATTAATATTTTTGAACTTCTGTACATCTACTTTGAAATAAGCTCCCAGGGAACACAAGTGACCTTCTTCCAAGAGTGTATGAGACCAAGGTATTAGAATATCTTAAAAAAAATCTAGGAAGTGAAGTACATGAAGTAAAATCCCATCCACTCTTACATTTAGGAGCTTATCCATAAATCCCTCAACTCTGGAGTATATGCACACAGTGACAGGAACTCCATGAATCACTCACGTGAGTAATTCCCACACAGAACTTACATTCCCAGACATGGAAAAACCACATGAGCAGCTCTATCCATGCAATTTCTATATTCAGCATGTTTTATGGCAGTACAGGATCTTGCTACATGGGAAACAGTTTTTATCCCATTAGGCTTACTGCACTCTTAATGAAGGTATAATAGACTTGAAGCAAAGGTTAACTATTGTCCGTCCGTCCGTCCGTCCGTCCGTCCGTCCGTCCTTCCGTCCTTCCTTCCGTCCTTCCTTCCTTCCTTCCTTCCTTCCCCCAAGTGAACCCTATGTGGTGCACATGGCTGTATGCCCTATTTTAGCCTCTCACCAAATCTATGGTAGGTCAGATTGAGAGAAAACAGGTGTCCCAATATTACCCAGGAAATTTCATAGCTCAATGCAAACTGGAGCCCAGATCTCCCAAGCCTCAGTCCAATATTCTGACCAGAACACTGCATGTACTACAAAGAGTATTAAGAAGCACATGACGTCTTAGGACACAGGTGCTATCCACAGTTATCTGTGAAGGATAGAATCATAAACTGGAAGCACCACTGAACTTCATGGGGCTTGCTCCAAAGCAGACTTGCATGGGATTGTAGTATTAAAAAGTGCATAAACAGGTAAAAACAGGGCAACCTAATATTTTGGGGTGGGGCTTATAATCTTTATTGAGGAGAGATCACAAGGTGGGTTCTTTTGTCATCATTGTTCACCTATGTCTCCTCCAGTTGGGATTCATTCTCAATCAGCCTCCTGAAATGTATGACATTCCATTCTTTCATTTGTTATTATGCAAAAATAGCAATATGAAACATACCTTCTAGTGGTCTGCATTCTATTCTTCCTGCTCCCATGCAAAAGCTACAATGGAAAACAACTGGTTTCAGAAATATTTGAACACTTATTAATTCACTCCTGCAAAAACTTGTCATATTATTCCTTGTGTAGTGACTTACAGCATAGAAACAGATATAATCATTTAAAATATTAAAGAACAATGTCTAATAATGTAACACAATAAAATGTTGACCCAACAGTTCATGTATTCTCAGGTTAAAGGTGGGGAGGGAGGATACTGTTGGTTTCTTGACACTGCCAAATGAACGCAGTGAAGAGGTATTTGTCTGGGAAAATAATCCCGAGGGAGGGTAATCTGCACAGGATAGTGGAAGGACATCTCCTGCTCTTATTTTCAGAACTACTGGAAGTTCAACTAGAATAATACCCTGAGCATGTTTTTTTTAGGAGCGGTATTACTGCATGAGGTAAAATATGTCTTTCTGCATGAGCACACAATTTCTGGTGCGCTTGCCACAGTTCTTTTCATTGCAACTATTTTATACTAATATAATAAAAATATTTTATATATTTTATGTATGTTATACTAAATATGGTACATACAATGCTGTTTTATTTTAATCCTCTTGGCTCAGAGATAGGTTATTTTAATCTGAACTGGAACCAATGGCCTCTTAGAGTTCTTAGTTATTTCTGTACCCCTTTGGGCATATTTTCCTTTTATGCCAACACATCACTTCTACCCCCTCTAAAAGAGTCACTCTCATTTAATTCTGTCTGCGCCAACACATTGCATGACAGGCATCAGCCCTTTGGAGCCAAGTGCTACCCTGGCTCAAAGAGGCCGGAATGAGGCAAGTGTGTAGTGCATGCCAGGAATGCCGACACCCAAGATGGCTACTGGGTAGAAAAGCTGTTGCTGCAGAAGTGGCGGGAGTGGCACCTTTCGCTCTGCCTGAGTCTCCCATTCTTCTGGATGCATCAGTAGTGACACAGTGAAGGCAGAGGGGACCTGGCGGGAGAGATGACTCCAGGCTCCATCTGAGTCATGGGGGAGGAAGGCAAGAAGGGCTTAAGGTGAGGGACAAGAACTGGGGAAGGAGTAGGGCATGCATGAGTGTGGGGGCCAGTGGAGGGAGGTGTTTATTTGGGCTTGAGGGGGAGGGGCTCTTCACTGAGGGGGGAGTTTGGGAGGGAGAGACATGAAAGCAGGGCCCTTTCCACCTCCATAAAAGTAAATTAAACTCAAAATGTGCTGACTTTTTCCTTCTCACAAATGCAGCCCACCTAATTATGCATTATTACATTAATATTAATATATTTGATTAGAATTCTTTCTGAAAAATCTATGTTAATGTGTTTTCTTTATCCCATTAAAAAATTTTTTAAATGAAAAGTCCAGTGGAGGGGGTCCCAGGTTGCTTGGCTGTTATAAATGGGGGGTGTGTGTCATGATTTGGAAAAGGTTAGGATACACTGACCTAGGAAGACATAAGTGTCACCCTCACCACACAAGCAAAAATTACCATGATTTAGAAAGAAATAATTGCACATGGCTTAGGACATTTTCAAACCATCCCAGCCTTCTCCTACCTCTGTGTGTCTTGAAAATCTAATGCTTATCACATGGGTTACCCCTCCCTTATGCCATGACAATTAACACCAAATGCCTATATAGCAAGTCAACATCTTCAGCTACCAATTTTGAAGGAAGGAACTGAGTTTAAAAGTACTCAGATTATAGAAGTGACAGCTGGCCAAATGACTTTTTAAAGAAGAAACCTGCAGCATTCTTTAGGCACAGGACATTTCCCTCATGGTCATTTAAATATTAGACTGTCCTAAAAACATTTTCCAATTCAGAACAGTTTTTGTATTCATAAAAATGACTAGATACAGGCCACAAAATAAGCATTAACATCTGCACTTCCGTTCTTTGTTAATCAGTTCTGCATTCTCACATACCATTCCTGACACAGTTCTTTGGAGTAACTGGGAACAAGAGCACCAGTTCCATAGTATTTGTCTTCAAAATAGCAGCCACAGTCCTCTTTTGTTACACATGTGTTGGTATGATTATTGTAGAAAGGGAACTCTGGAGGACATCGTGGATAGCAACCTACAGCCCACAAAGAAGCATATTATTAAAAGGTAAAATACTCGTAATAACAATATTTTTATTAGGAAGCAAATTAAAGACTCTAAGTATTTGCAGAAAACTCCACCTGCCATGATAGGGGGAAATAGATGGGAATGCCCATTGGTTTCCATTAGAATGGGATATAAACAGCTCTACAACAGTAACAGTCAGAGCTTGGAAAAGCTAAGTCAACAACTCTCAGAATCCCCTAGTTAGCATGCCCAAAGATCACTCCATGGAAGCATGAATCATGACTAGCTCACAGCCCTTAGGTCTGTTGCACAAAGTACTTATTCAGAGTTAATCTGGCAAAATAAACACAAAGTAAGATAGTTAACCAGTAAGGGAATTATTGTATAAAGAAAATTCAACAGTTCCTTTTTATCAGGAGGAAAAAGGTGAAGTTCATTACAAAAACAAGAATACTCCTCACATATCTCAAAAACACTATTACCAAAGCCTTCAGTCAGAATCTACATGAGGGCACATAATAACAATAAAAACAGCAAGAACAAAGTCACACCTATCCTTCTGGCTGATTCTCATTGCCATCATTCCCCTAGCACAAGAAACTAGAGGTGTGTGAGCAATATTGTGGCTCTACAAGCTATAAACTTAACTACATCTGTCTATATTCAGAGGTTGCTCTCTGTTTCAGAAAAGTATCTGCATACATGAAAATGGGAATGTCTTTCAATCCTCTGAATGAATCTCCTGATTGGGTATGAAGTAATACTCCATGAGGAGGAAAAATTATCAGTAACTAACAATTCCTTACCTTCCACGCGTGGCACTGAAATGTTGCTGACAAGATGGAGCATGTCACAGGTCAGAATTTCACGTCCACAAGGCTCGTAGTGCCATTCACACACTTCCGGGGAAGGATTGTAGTAATCACAATAGATTGCTAATAGAATAAAACAATTCATGAGAAAACAAGATAGAAACATTCTTTTCCTACCACCCCCATCAAGATGTTAACATACAATTCATTTGCACTGGGATCATTTCTGTAAGGCATGGAACAGGAAATCCTCTTCACTCAACTTTGTGGAACTTATCCACACTGGTTATGTTGGAGTCGCCAGGTACAGACTAAATAGGGTTGCTTGGGGTTGGCTGGAGGTGTAATATGCCATTTGGTGTGATCTACAGTTCCAAATGGCATATCTAAGCTCAAGCCATTCTATTTGGTCCAGATCCTTCCAGAATGGTTGACTAGATAACTTTCAACTGAACCAAGTGTTAAAAAAAATGTACAAGAAATTGAAAAATTACATCCAAGGATATGAAAAGAACTCGCAGAAGTAATTTCAGAATTCTAGAGCAAATCATTTAACAGACAGTTTGTTATTACTTTGAAATCAATGCTGTCATCATCAATATGGGTTTCTCAAAGTCAACATGGGTTTCTCAAAAGCGAGTCATGCCAGATTAATCTGATCTCTTTTTTTCTATAGAGTTATAGGCTTGATAGACAAAGGGAACACTGTGGATGTAGCATATCTTGATTTCAGTAAGGCTTTTGACAAAGTTCCCCATGATATTCTTGAAAGGAAGCTAGGAAGACGTGGGCTAGACAGTGCTACTGTTTGGTGGATTTGTAATTGGTTGATTGACTGAACCCAAAAGGTGCTCACCAATGGCTTCTCTTCATCCTGGAGTGAGGTAATTAGTGGGGTGCCTCAGGGTTCTGTTCTGGGCCATGTGCTATTCAACATCATTATCAATTATTTGGATGAAGGAATAGAGAGTATGCTGATTAAATTTGCAGATGATACCAAATTGGGAGGGGTTGCTAATTCCCCAGAGGCAGCATTAAAATTCCAAATGACCTTGACAGATCAGAGTCCTGGGCCAAAACTAACAAAATGAATTTCAACAGGGAGAAATGTAAGGTCCTACACCTAGGCAGAAAAAATGAACTGCACAGATATAGGCTGGAAGACACTGGCTAGACAACAGTGTGATGCGGCTGCCAAGAAAGCCAATGCAATTCTTGGTTGCATCAATAGGAGTATAGTGTCTAGATCAAGGGAAGTGATAGTACCACTCTATTCTGCTTTGGTCAGACCTCATCTGGAGTATTATGTCCAGTTCTGGACACTTCAATTCAAGAAGGGTGTTGACAACCTGGAATGTGTCCAGAAGGGGGCGACTAAAATAGTCAGAGGTCTGGAAGCCATGTCCTATGAGGAGCAGCTTAGGGAGCTGGGAATGTTTAGCCTTACAAAAAGAAGGTTAAGAGGGGACATGATAGCCATGTTTAAATATTTGAAGGGATGTCATGTCGAGGAAGGAACAGGTTTGTTTTCCACGGCTCCAGACACTAGGACAAGGAGCAATGGTTTCAAACTACAGGAAAAGAGATTCCACCTGAATCTCAGGAAGAATTTCCTGACAGTCAGAGCTGGTTGGCAGTGGAATAGGCTGCCTCGGAGTGTGGTGGAGTCTCCTTCTTTGGAGGTTTTTAAGCAGAGGCTGGATGGCCATCTGTCGGGAGTGCTTTGATGGAGTTCCTGCATGGCAGGGCATTGGACTTGATGGCCTCTGTGGTCTCTTCCAATTCTATGATTCTATGAGTGTTTAAAATACTTGTTCACACTGCAGATCAAAACCATATTTTCACAAGCATTTTTGAACATGCATTGATTTGGATGAGAAAATAGATGAAAATATGCCTCACAAAAGTTAATTGACAACATAGTTTTAAACATGTCTTCAGAAGTCTACTAATTTCAGAGACGTATTCCTCAGTAAGAATACATGGGATTTCAGTTTAAACAATCATCCAGGCTGGAGAAATAGCCATTTGAGTCAACAGTAAATCTTACTGATGCTGATGAGACTATAGGCCCTCTGCAGTGTTTGTGTTGAAGGCAGCTACACTGAGACCATTCCATAAGGCAAGTCTTAGTTTGTGGTGGCTAACCTATGGGCCGGAAGACAGATTTATCTCTCTCAAATTATTTAGATTTACCCTGTATAATAGGGGACATTGTGGCTAATTAATTTAGTGGTTTTGTTCTAAATCTGTGATGCTCTCCCATATTTCACTTTGAAGGCATAACTAGATAGAATCCTAAAAATAAGACAAATGTACAGTATATGCAGGATTTTCAGATACCATATAAAACGGCACTGACAAAAGCCACTAACATTATTTAGATATAGAGGTTTAGGGCAAGGGTATGCAAATTGTGGCCTTCCAGATGTTGTCAGTATAAAATTTCCCAGCCAGCATTGCCAACAGTAAGGGATGATGGTATCTGCAGTTCCAGGTGAGGATGGGCATTAAGTGCCCCTTCCCAGTTTAGAATGATAAACAAATTAAGAGGTACAGTAAAACCAGTCACTAGTCCCAAATGAGTAGGAATCCATGGGATTTAGTTGACTTTCACAATGGGTTGAATAATGGATCTAATAATTGGATGAGGTCTGTGTGGATTTAGAACTGATGCACTGATTTTTTAAAAAAAATCTGTTTGTTTGTTTGAGCAGGTGTTTTTCTAGGTATCACATTTATGGGTATTTTGTGCATATAAACATATTTAGAAAAGTATTCAGTCTGAAAAACTTACGGCATATTTCAGGAGTTCTCCAGTCAACACAGGCTTCGGCTTTGATGCATTCTTGTGCATAGGCAGCAACGGCAGTACAGAAGCATTCACAATCTCCACCGCTGTCACAAGCGCAAGAATCGTGTACACAAGCATCATAGTATGGCTCTGGGTCCACCTATCAGAAAGGTTTAGACTTTCAAAATGGAGAGATTTGTATGGATCATCATTTCCAATGCCACCACCCTAAGACAGCATCCTGAAGCCACCAGGGCCTTTAACTATGATTGCCCATAATTGGCAACATGCCTGGAATTTGCTGTTTGTGTTCATAACACTTCCAAGAGACAATGGTAACACCATCTCATTATAGGTTATCTCATATCAATGAGGCATCAAGGGGATCACAGAGAAAGGATTGGGGAATAGATGCACTCCAGATGGATCCAGTGTGATGCAGCGACTAACCTTACTATGGCATGTTTTGAATACATCAGTTTTGATGAGGCTGCATTCTTTCTCTGCCCAAGCTTTGCGATGAGGTTTCTCGTCACAGGGCTTAATGACTGTGTCCACATCAGCACATTTTGAATCCCTTTTCCATGAATTTCCAAAGACAAGTGCATTGTTCACTTGGACCATGCTCCTTGTTGTGAAGTCATTGCTGGCTTTGTCATCAAAGTTGCCACATAAACCACAGACATTTCCCTGAAGTGAGAAGAATGCAGTACATCAGTACTTAATTATTTAAAGGTAAAATACATTGGAATGTTGTTTTTTAGGCCTGATTGCCCTAATTCATTTCTCTCACTGTTACCATTAACAGATACTGCTGGCTTTAAGGGGGTTGGATCAAGATTAATATTTTGTAGCTTTCAAGGGATTCCAGTGCAGCCAGCTCTTTTGAAACCAGACTGTACAGTGGTAGTGCACTGTTCTAAGATGACTGTTATGACTATGAAGTGGTACTAGTCCTACCATCAGATAAATTAAGGCAATTGAATCACTTAGCAGATGCCAGGAGCAACATCAGCAGCCCCCTGTTTGTTTGCTTCCCGGCACTTCCCTGTCTTGGAGGACAAAATTGTGTGTACTACATATCTTGTCTTTATCCGCTGAACTGAAATGCTCTTCTCTGGTGTGATGGTCATTTATGGAATTTGGAGTCAACTAGCTGGCTGGACTGCTCAGTAAATTAGCTATGTTACTATGATGCCAGAAGTTGGGAGTTCAGTTCCCCATGATGCATCCAGAAAAGCCAGCCTGTGTAGCTTTGGGCAAGCTGCATAGTCACAGGATGCCTCCAGAAGACAGGAATGGTAAACCATTTCAGAGTATTTTCTACCTGGAAAACCCTGAAAGTGTTGCCATGAATTGGAATTGAATTGATGGCACAAAACAATTATTATTAGAGGCCTATCCAAGTATTCATATTAGGGAATTTTCACCAAGAATTCATGAGGAATATTATAACCTCCTCTTCTTTCTGTCATAGTTCTGGTCACATTGAACTCATAGAAGGTTCCGTTTCATGTGGGGCAGCCTCCAAAGATGGCAGAGGCTCTCCTATTCAAATTCATCATTCTTCATACATTAAGAGTGACAAAACCAAAGACCAATGAGATTAGGAGCAGAATGCTCTTTCTGGTATTTCCTAACAAGAACGCTTAAACATAACAGTGTAGTAAGTTCCTGTATCTGTAATGGGGGAAAGTGGTCATTCTGTCCTCTGCTTCAGGCAGCAAAAAGTCTTGGACTGGCCCATGGCAATATCTACTGTCTTCTACACAAACCTTTGCCATAAATTGAAAGCCAGCCACCAAACAAGCAGTGCTCAATTGTGATAAGATAGGGTGCAACAAGAATGGGTTTATTTCAAATTAGGTGACACTCAGTTTAGCTGGTGTCCCATTTACCATCTTTATGATTATGTAAACTACCTGAAACAATTAACACTTGGAACAATTACAGGCAGTTACCATGAACAGAATAGTGTTTGTTACAAATGAAGTAAAAATAATTAATGGATGTGGCCTCATATTAAGCACAGTATATTTTCAGAAAGGATCCCAGATATTCATATGGAATATCTAACTCTCACCCACCCCGGTTGTGTGCTGTTGACAAGAGAAGAGAGTGACATGGTGATATATCAATGGAGTCAAGGCCTGCAGGGATGAAGCAGTGAGACTTTCTGACTATCTGGAGCTACAGGATTATTATACGAAACAGATTCAACATCACTTACTTTATAGCTTGGTGCCAACTTAACGAAAATAGTTGTCTTCTTGTCCCAGATGAGCATAATACCATTGCTGGTTTCAACCACAACGTACAGCCCAACTGGCTCATGGATCCAGTAAGTCACTGCACTACTAGAGTTCAGGTACACTTTTTCTATGTGTTTATCTTCCAACTTTAGTTCAGTGTTCTAAAAGAAAGGTGTGTGTAACAGGTTATATAATAAAAACAGATATGGGCATTTTAATGAGATACTCTTTAGTCAACAGACCTAATATCAGTTCTTTTAAAACCAATAGCATAACGTACATTCACAAATATATAGATTAGAACCTAATCTAATTAAGAACTCAAAATGTCATTCTTTTTAATGATGTTTCTCTTTTGCACTGACTCATAAATGGAAATGGAAAATAAATCTGCATTGAGATTTTAAAAAACACAAGTTCATCAAATTCATATAGAACAAGAAAATTAGCAAAAGTGAACACACGTATTTTGGCTTCCTCTAATCAGGAGGAAATGGTAAGCATCACATGCTCTCCTCCTGCCAACAAAAAATTATTTGAAGGTAAATGTACTCCATTCATAGACTATGTTTTATAAAAGAAACACAAACACTGTTTCATCAGTGAGGAAAATGCATTAAAATGCATGCTTTGAGAAAAATGTATAAAAATGCATAGATTAGAAAGACTGTATACCAAATATGCACCCATTTCATCCAGAAAGGTGGAGGAAGAGGGCAAGTATAGAAATTGAGCTGGTTGAGAATGCCAGTGGGATTATATGAAATACTACACAGACAATGAAACAGATAGATTTTCATAGCCCTCTCCATACATACGTCTAGAAACAATTTAATGGCCTTGGAGCAGGTGACTCCTGTGGTTCCGCAGGGCACATTCTCTGTGATGATACTAAACGTTCCCTCTGAACTTTTGTCGCCACAGTAATCCTAGTGAAAATGGAAAAGGAAATTTGAATGAAACTGAGCAAAATCACAACAGTACACTTATTTTCTTCGGTATTTTAGGAAACAATAAGCTCCATTGAACCTTTGCATTTATAGCTAATTCAATGATGTAAAGCCAAAGGGGCCTGTATCTTGTGTTATTCCTGCACATTTGAAGCAACCAGGAAACAAATTAAGGGCTTGTCTGTGTAGTTTAAGTAGAATGGGCTGGATTGGGCTCAGTAGGGTTAGTGGGAGGATGGTATGCCATTGAGTGAGATTCTTGCACCCAATGGCATTTGGAAATGAAGTGACCCTATTTGGTTTGCAGCAGCCTTTGCCAATATTGTGAAATGACTTCATAAGAGAGCCACTTCAGGATATTGGCAAATCAATCACTTCCTCAGCTCTGAGGAGAGGCAGAAGTAGTTATTTTTTAAGTGTGTATTTGACAGTGAATATTTCTTACTTCACCTTAAATGGAAAACTTATTCCAGAAGCTTTTGTTTGCTTTGCTTTTGGTGTAGAGCCTGCCAGCAGCTGAACTGGGGAGGTTCACGATCTGACATTGAAAAGCAAAGCAAATAAAAGCTTCTGGAAGGAAGCATTCAGTTTAAAGTGATGCACTGAATATTTGCTGTCACAAACGTTAATTTTTTTTCCCCACTGGAACCAAGGAAGTCATTAATATCCCATTATCCAGAAGCAGTTGCCTTAAGCCATTTCACAATACAGTATTGGCAAAAGCCTGGTTTTTATTCTGTTCCCAGTGATCATATGTGCTGGAACTAGAGTGATCCTACCTGCACCCAAAAAAGTAGTAGATGCCCCTGAAAGGGGCCAGAAAAGTGTGGGAAGGAATACTTTGGGAACAATTTGGTTTGCTCTAGCAATTGCGTTGTATGATCGCTGTCAAAAAGAGAGAACCAACCTGTCTCATTAGCAGTCCAACCAGTGGGCTAAACACCCACCTTATCACAACCTAAGTCAACACTGGGCAGCTTCAGAGAATCTGGGGACAATTTTCCAGACCTAGCACTTACTCTAGTCTGTAGCAAGCCTAAAAACAAACTGTACTTTCAATTCCCTTTGGGGAGTTTTGGGGCCCTACACTTCCATCTGATAGCAAAAGAACCTTCTTCTGCAATTTACCAGGCATGGAAAGTGATCTTTTCTCACGTGTAGGTCTCATTTAAAAATGGATAATTGGAATGGAATAGAGGTCTGAGGAGCAGGTGCCTCAGAGGTATAATCTTAGGAGGCATACTTTGCCCAACTGCTTAATTAAATGAATAAGGGAATGAAAAACATATACAAAATAGAATGCTGTAAGGCAACTCTTCCAGCGATCAAAATGTTTCCCAGAACTTCTCAAATACAACCAAGTTGTGAGTATGTGCCCGTTCAACCCACGGAATGAGTTAACGTATGTTTAACCTGAGTTCTGTTGCTTGCACTTCCTATGAAAGTTGCTGGTGTGTGAGCAGGGGAAAACAGTAGAAACTACCTCAAAGACTGGTTTCATGCCTCGCATGAAGATTTTGAGCTATTCAGGCTAACTTTGCTACCAGCTTAAAATGATATTGATAAAAGGAATTTCAATAACTCCATCTATTTAATAGGAACATTATCAAAATATGCCGCCTAGAGTGGTCATATTGACCAGATAGGCAGG